AAGCAGAAGCCGACCGCATTCCTGTCTCAAACAAAAATCACAGGCACCCGGGAAATAAAAGTAATAACCCACGTTTGATGTGGCCAAGCATGAAACAAACAAGAAATAGTTATTTGATGGTGATGTATGTGATACGGGTGTTATATAGTTGTGTTTTGGACTTTAAAGTTACAGTGTTTCGGCGACTGCTTTCAGCCTTTTAACGTTTTGACAACGGTTGAAACTTTTTTGTCAAATCCAATTCTCAAATCTATACATTCTAATATATTATCTTGTATTTTGTTCTAATATCTTAACTTCAAAATTATTACCGTTTTGCTTTTTTTAGTTGTTTACTTTTGGAAGACGCCAATTCCCCTTCTCACATACTTTATCATTTGGGAGAGACACCAGATCTTATCATGAGGGAGAGACATCGCTCTCGACAAAAGGAGAGACATCACTCACCACTGAGGCCTGTCCAGTACAATGTCCGCTCACCGCTCACCACTTCGTACAGTGTCCATACGTTGTCCGCTCAGCACTTAGAACACAGTGTTCCTCTCAGCGACGTGATATAAGGACAAATCTTCATCAGAGTGTTTTTACCTGGCATTATGTACTCGCTACACGTATGAAGCTTATTAGTATGCCCAGTACATTCACCAATGGCAAATGTCTAGAAACAGGGACTATTTATCTATGGTCATACGCTCTTCAAAAACGCCGTGTACTGGAATACTGTTAAAAGCGGCGTTGAACCCAACTCACTCACTCACTCTTCAAAACAAGTAGGACATACTCGCAAATGCCTTAAAATTTTCACAATTGTAAGAGATATCTGTTTCTAGTAATAATTGTTTGAAAATAATAAATGAATGGGGAACACATTGCAACCGGTCGTAAAGTACGCAAGTCGATGTTATGACCGCCAACTATCATTTAGGACGATCGGGGTAGGATGAGAAATTTCAAAGTTTCTGGATCAGTACGTAATACCGCCACGATTTGTAAGCATTCATTCACTCGACGAGGCATACTGCGTATGAGTCTCCCAACGGCGATTTGATGGAGTCAGTTCCACTCCTCTTGCAGCGCCTGGCCAAGTTCGGTGAACGTGGTCGGCGGTCTTTGACGTTGACGCACATGTCTCCTTATCATGTCTCAGGTGTGTTCAATAGGAGAAGGTCTGGGCTGATTGCTGGCCAATCATTCTATAGATTGTGTCCTGCTGGATGTGAGCATTGGCGATTTGTGCACGGTGAGCACGGGCGTTGTTGTCATGAAAGAGGTCAGGTTTTACGTAGCGTTCAAGATTATTGCACTTATATAGCGACGTGCATGCACGTGTTTGTGTCTGTGATTCTACTAGTCCGGACTAATGTCGATTGTATAGTGCAAGCCCACTGAGATACCATGCCGCAGTTTAACATGAATACACACACTGAATACTAATTCCGAGTCGACCGAGTTTGTTTTAGCCCCTTAATGCCGAGCGCCAGACAAGGTAACAACTAGTACCATCTTTTAACGTCTTTTGGTATGACGCGGCCGGGGATCGAACCCCCGACCTTCCCCTCTCCGGGCAGACGCTCTACCACTAGACCACGGAGGCGGTCTCAGCCTGGAAGACAAAACGCCGATTCTTGATAATGTCAATAAATTTAAAGATGTTTGGATGACTTGGGCCCGATTTCTTCAGCTTGGAGTGCCAGCCAGTGATTGGTTGTCTTGGAACCCAGGGTCCCAAAATGGTTCCACACGTCTCTCCTGTCAGCTTCCACCCACCCATAATCCGCAAACTTAAGGATTCTTGCATCTTCAAGATCAGCATCTTCTAATGCATTCAGCCACACGTCGTCTATGTCACAAGGTCGGAGTAGAGGCTCGTTGAACGAAGAGCTTGGTTCTCGGGTCTTGAATAGTGTCTGCAGTCCACATTTTTGGGCGTTTCTCCATGTCTAACAGTCAATACTTTCACAATTATTATATGGAGTGATAAGACTAACTGGACTACACTAATATTTGACACTTACCAGTCAGCTCTTCTTGGTAGATGGTAGGAACAGGTCTGCTCTCTGTCCGAACTCTGTCATTCAGATTTGCCAGGAACTCTTGAACGACAACACCTTTGTTGTCTTCTGGGTGGTTGTGGACGTCACGATAGATGGTGATGATGTTGTGTGCAGTGTTGATTGTCGCCGGACAGTCCTTCCTGCAGCAACGCCAATGCATGGTGGTGTTTCTTCTGTTCTTAATTCGGAATCTGTGTCCGTTGAAAACTAAGTTCTCTCCACCTTGGGAGTTAGCAACAAATAGAACATTAACTTGAGCATTAGCCATTTTGTTATGGCAGTATGACTTGCAAATGCCATTTTATACACTTCCAAGATTGACATCAATCACTCATATATAATTTTAATCATCCCTATGCATTTAATAATGTACATGAGAAAACTGTTCACCTATTATCATCAAATAACAGTTAGACACTTACTGAACCGAGTTCACACTCAGAAGTGGGTTCACTTTAATGACACAGACTATACCAAGCTATTAAGTGATCTGTGTCTCTTAATCCCCTATAATCCACGATAACAACATTTGGGGTGAGGGCACAGTGAGGTTAAACCAAATAATTGTGAATTGTCAATCGCCTTAAAACAAGTTTACATTAGAAATTAGCTTCTACTCAAATTTACTCGCCGACTCTGATTGGGAGGCGCAACTAAACTCATTGTGAAAACATAACATGCTTTGAAGTTTTAAGTACCTTTACTCAAATTAACTCAATGTCAAGCTGAAACTGTATTATCTATTATTATAAACTAGTGTCCAAAAGAAACGATACCACCTGTTTGCAACGACATAAAAGAAAAACTTAACAATGCAGAAGTTTAGGATTGGTGTTATGCTTTTGAGAAATCCTTTCACAACATCTGTACAAAAATTTCATTTCAATAAAATCTGTACAACCAATATGACAAGCCTTTAAAGATGGGTGGGGTCGAAAAATGAACATTTCGTTAGAGCACTGATCACAGAAACAACGGGAAATGTCACACCACACGTCTCAAAGTCAAGTCAGTAGCGGGTATGTCCACTGTGAGCATCAATACATGCCAGAACACGCCTACGGACTGATGACGTCAAACGTCTGATGACGTTGGGAGTGATGCGTTGCCATTCCTCGAGGAGACATCGTTCCAAGTCCTGGACGTTGACTGGAGGCACACGGCGACGTCGGATTTGCCGATCGAGGTGGTCCCATAAGTGCTCGATGGGATTCATGTCCGGTGAACATGCGGGCCATGGCAAAACCTGTACGTTGGCGTTGGCAAGGAAGTTCTGTGTCAATCTTGCTGTGTGTGGCCTTGCATTGTCATGTTGGAAAAGGAGTCCATGAGGCTGTTGCTGAATAAAGGGCACCACAACAGGCCGTAGGATGTCATCAAGATAACGCTGTGCATTCAGGTTTCCACGAATAAGACAAGCATCGTTTTGACGTCACCACATATGCCACCCCAAACCATTAACCCATTTCCAAACGGCCGGACCTGTTGGATACAGTTAGGCGCCAAACGTTCACCAAATCGTCGGTATACAAGCTGCCGTCCATCGTTTCTGAAGATGAGGAATCTGCTCTCATCAGAGAACATAACACGTGCCCAGTCCCGCCGTTGCCAACGTCGAACTCGCCTGGCCCAGATCAGTCTGTTGTTCCGGTGTCGAGGCGTCAGGAGCGGTCCGCGGTAGGGATGACGTGGCCGGATACCATACTGCCGTAGTCTCCTGTAGACGGTCTGTCGACTGATCCTGTGTCCCAGTGCTGTAGCCGCCGTGGACGTCGCTGTTACGGTGCGGTTCCTCAGGTGTAATACCCGGATGTAACGATCTTCACGGGGCGTGGTTACTCGTGGTCTTCCACTCCTGGGCCTGTCTGACGTCTGACCTGTCTGACGTAACCGCTGCATCAACCTGGTGATAGTGATGCGTGCGCAGCCCAACCTTCTGGCGACGTCGACGTGTGACGCTCCTTGTTGGACCATTCCAACGGCTCTCTCTCTCTCGATGGCTGTCAAACGTGGCATATCTTGTGTTCTTTTTGTTGCTGTGATATCAACGTGTCTGATCAGCCGTTTAATACAGTTTTTCTGCACGTGCAGAACATGCTAGAGAGGGAAATGTCACTTTCACGAAATTTACGTTTTTTCCCGGAAGTGATCACGTGTTCCCGGTATTTTTTATCGACTATGCTGTGTTTGGGATGTGCAATACGAATTGGCATGTTTTCATACTTGACAATTCACTTAGTAAAAAACAATTTTGAAAATAAGTTGGTATCGTTTCTTTTGGACACTATAGTTTATAATATCTGTTATTTATTATTTTATTATGAAACTGTGAATAACTGTGGAAGACAAGACAGTGAAAATGTAAATAAATCATAAAGACTACAACATAACATAAGAAAGCGTGTAAATAAATACTACATAAATCGTTCTTATAGTTATTGAAAACAGAGGTGCCATTTTCGCGCGACAATTAGTAGCCGTTTTCGTCAAATGAGGACGTGCCGTTTTAGCTTGCACCCCAAATGCCCCGGCCATTTAATTATATGGTAATGAAATATTAATCAAAAGTACGTTATAACCACTCTCTCATCTTGCGAATTCGAACGTACCACCATTATGTACCATTTTGTCAATGGCCGCGCCATGTGTTATTCACAAATTTCAGAACTGCAAGATGACCTCATTTTCAGGTATTTACACTAGATATGTTTGATGTGATTGTTGTGTTTAAATGAAAACTAAAAAACAGGTCCCACCGAGATTTGAACTCGGATCGCTGGATTCAAAGTCCAGAGTGCTAACCATTACACCATGGGACCGATACTCCTCGCAGTGCCGTAATGTGTGCTATAATCACACAAATTCTTCAAAACTTCACACACTGCCATAGTTTCTTGTTCTTCTTTATGTATGAATATCGCTGTGTGGAGTTATGCAGCTCCTTGCATAGACCTTTACCTGCTGATCAAAACACAGCCAGCAAGATTCGACTACCTCATCTAACGGACGAAGATGTCTCGTCCAGCAGCCGAAATAATGGACACTGACAGCGAGGACGAGTTACCTCCTGGCTGGGAGGAGCGAGTGACGCTGGAAGGAAAAGTCTACTATGCCAAGTGAGTGCAGTACTGTACCGTCACTGTCGTTCCAACTTGATGATCATAACACAAGCAAATCTTGGCCTATTTCCGGATGCCGGAGAGCGGGTGTTGGGTGTTGCAGGGGTAGGAAGGGGGGTGCGGGGGGAGAAGGGAGGGGTGGGAGGTGATAATTCAGTTGATGTAATATGACGTTATACGTTTTCATTTACGAAGAACAATACTTGACGCCACGAGATATTATCGATAATAATACGTCATCGCATGGAACGCTATATTAAAGCAGTTGTTAATTCATAAAGGATCGTAATGGTAAACGCTGACTAACATTTATGATTGATTTATGATGATTTTCTTTATGGAGTTTGGTAAACAAAGTACCTGTCATGAGCGACTCAAGGGCAGGCAACTATATTATCGCGGTATCACTATTTTGTGGTTTGATATGTGTGGATTATGTGGTTTACATCACTTCCTGTTTTGGATTATGCATAATAATCACTATGCATACGACCTAGGTTGGGTAAAGGGTCATCGTCCAAACAAATGGGTTTTTTTCTAAAAAAAATCGAGTTGAGATAGGGTTTAATCTAAGCTTGATGGAATTAATTAATTAATTTAATAGATTAATTGTGCCTGGATTTGCATCAGTAAACAGTTGTGTGTATTATGAGATACAGATACTGTGATAACATATGGAGACCGCGATACTATAATTGTTTACGTACTTCCAATATCTGTTGTCATGGTACCATTACCTCGGGCAGAAATGCGATAATAATCATGGTGATAATTAGCCGAGAGCCGCGATGGGGTCATGTCTTGACTGTAGGACCCCATCACAATCTCGGCTAGATGATGTTGCAATTAAAGTTTGCATAAACATTTTTACGAAACTAATTTAAACTCTGAATCCTGTGAGATGAAAAGTATTGTTTCAAGTTGTATTTTTGTGGGTTCCAAGCACAAACAGAAAACACCGAGTTCACACAAGGTTTATCAACCACCGGAGCTCTAGCTTCTAGTTCTTGCATAACATAACATAAACCGGAACTAAAAAAGATATTGTTACAAGTATGGCTAGTTGGTCGTGAAATGTATTGAACCTGTACTACGGTAAATTGTATGTTACATATAGGCAAACACAAATTCTATTCTGTTAAGAAATGCATTCAAACTATCAATGGCTGATTTTCTTCAATCTAACATTGAAATCCCTATCTCTAACTGGCTTAAGTGGTGCCTGGCTTTGTGTACTGTTCCGTGCGGCACACTCATGACGTCACGGTTAGAAAAACGTATACATGCATTTGATACAAAGTGTTACATCGTTATATTGCTGCACACAGTGTAACCAACTTGTGCATTCAACTAGAGTTGATTGTCTTTCCAACAGTATCTAACAGTATGCAACTAGTCACATGGTATATCAGTGATTTTGACACAAAAAGCTGTATACAGGTCAATGACTTGGACCCAAGAAATGTAATAAGTCAGTGGCAAAAGTCAACAAGTCACTTAAACAAAGATTCCGGATGCAGTAAAATTTCGAAGTTAAATCAGTACTTTTAAAAAATGGGGCATAGCTTCCGCACACCCGGCTACCCGCCGGGTCTGTGAGCAATACTGCCATCAACTTCACCCCCCATCCCCCAGACACAAGGACAACTGTCACAAGCGTGCAATGTCTGACCTTTCCCCATGGTGAAATATATATTTTTTTTAAATAGCCTTGTACTTACTTACCTATTGTTGAAAAAAACATTGCAAACATGACATTATTCCAACACATATCCAGGGTTATGGGTTTTCGGACACTGAAGAAACAGTCATAGTTTTCTCGCTGATCACATGAACAACTGTAAGTGTAAAACTTCTCATTCACTTATTCATAAAGGACAACTTTATCTCAGAATCAAGCCATCATCTGAGTATTTATAATTTCTGTGTGACACCTACCGTTATGGTGCAAGTATTCGTGATTGAAAACGTATGATGTCCGAAAACCTATGATCCGACGATAATAGTATTGTGTCATGAATAATAATAAAGGCATAATTGATGCTGAAAGTTCTGATCGAAAACAGGACAATCCGCGACGGTTCTCCGGAAACACAATATTTTCGGAGTATTTTTTTAAATCTTTGATTATATTTTTACGAGGAAGATGACTCTTTTCGAGGACCACTGTTTTAAAAAACGCGATTTTCAGCGTTTTTGTGGAGATTTCACATTATTAGATCTAATTATTTACGTATTGAACAAATTGACCAGTCACCAAAGGGACTTCCAGCGCTACATGTATTTCGATTGCGAAAGTGTTATGTTGACATTTAATAGTCAAATTGCCTCAAATATGACTTTAAATGAGTCAAGGTATGGCATTTATGATATGTGTATCCATTCTCTTGCAAATAAAGTTCGTTTCAAGGCATTAATAGCGGTAATCTGACCGTGGTTGTTATAAATAACGGTGAGTTGTGCGATCTACCGATCACTTCGCATACGATTTCGCCAAAATTATTATAATTATTGAATAAATTTTTTTATAAAATCTTTAAGATATATTGCAAACATAAGTCCAGATAAACAATGAACACCTTTTTATAACCAGATACTATAATAATAGGATTAAATTGCGTATTTCAGTTCGGATTTGTTGACTGGTGTTTCCGGTGTTACGTGATCGCGGTGATCATTTGATTATGTTTTTTTGAGATGGGGGGAAAACATCATGTCATTGGAAAACTTGAGTTTCTTATAAACATAAGTAAATTTTGGGACCATGCTTTACCGCCCGCTATAACCGAGTAAGCGCTATTATTGACGGGCGCAATAGCGAGAGAACACTCACTGTATATGATGCTGAAAGCTCGGATCGAAAACAGGACAATATGTGTACTGTACTTTCTCTCGATTGGCACTAAACTTTATGAGAGCATTTCATCGGGCATTAAAATCGATACCCTGAGTGGAATAATCCCTACTATTTAATCATGAAATTATGACACGTGTGACGGCTTGCTTAGCATTTCTATCGGTCAAAAGTCCAACAACTTAAACAAACCATCGGTCAAATAGAAATTTTATCGGTCTATGACCGGTGACCGACGGCCATCTGAAACCCTGTATATGTGTTACATCAGTGCAACTGCCCATTGCATGCATTAACAGGCCGTTTGCCCAATGCGTGCAATGTGCAATACAGCTTGCCAAGTTCATGCAATGGACAGTGGCGTGTACAAGTTTTAAAATCTTATTCACAGAAGTCAAAAGGACCAAGTTAATTTTTTAGGATCTATGCACCGAGTTATTTTACAAAGATCTGTTCCCTGAATTGTTTTCACACACGGATGCATCAACATAGACTAACATTTAGTCTCTGAAATCTTATATTGCACAATATCCTTCTTGACTCTAAAAGTTAAAAATATTCCCTATGCTGATGTTGAATAGCTGATGTTGAATAGAGCTAGCTTGAGCTGGCTAGACTTGCTTTTGTATGCATTTCTAGATTATTATTTTTTCATAAAATAAATATATTCCACGGTCATGGTGCAGGACTAGCATCAACACTAAATCATAAATTACTATTTATATGGTTTCTTAACTACTGTAAAACACAAATAAAATACGTCTCGAAAATAATACGTCTTACTAAATGTCGACTTTAATGTGCACAAATAAATGTGATCAACCATTATTATTTTTTTTAAATTACTAAACGATCATTTTCACTGAACTATATCTACTCACAAGGCTGTATTTCCTGCTTACAAGCAAGGGTTGGGTTATCATGGTTACCGTATTCGACATAATAAGCGCCCAGGGCGCTCTCAAAGTTAGAAATAGGGGGCTCTTATTAGAATATTATTTTGGTGAAAAACAACAGAGTTGAAAGATCGTAAATTTCGTGGTTTATGCTAACAGCCTGAAATGTTTATATACGACAGATATATTTTTTCCAGAATTTAATTTCCCATAACTATGAATGCATATAACATGCGTATTATACACGAATAAATAAGTCCTGTGTACATTGATCAATCGGAAGGGGTGCTAATTGGGATTGTACGCTAGCCAATATATTAGAAAATATCGTAGTGGGCGCTTATTAGAGCGGGGCGCTTATTACGTCGAAATTGACATACAGTATATTGTTTTGATATCAATTTACCTGAATGAATGAAACAAGTTGTCCTTTTAACATGTTTAAAAGGTGTTCATTGTATTACATTTAGTTACAATTAGTTTCTCCATCTTTGATAACGTAAACAAGTTCACCTTTCATCTAAATGCACTGTTTACCTTTGATCATCCCGGCGGAGCATTAGCAAAGGCTTTGTGACAACTAGTTATGTTTTGTCCTATTTTTACAAACATTCTGATGGTATATTATTTTCAAAAGGTTAAACTAATGCAGTTGCACTATAAATAGTTTTATCTTGGATATGATAAACATTACAACGTTTTGGTGTAGGTTCTAACACCATTATCAAGCAAGTGATGGTTGAGATTGCCACGTCTCAATGAAGATGACGAATAACATCTTTAATAGGCATTTAGAAGTTGGAGTAATAAGTAAGTATAAGAATTTATGGATGAACAACTTCTTTATTACAATTAGGAGTGACGTTTCGGTGTAGGTTCTAATACTGTTATCACTTGGAGCTTCCATGGATGGAGTTGACAAAGTGACGAAGAAGGACGGCAAGTACATTGTCACCAAGGAAACAGTAGTAGAGTTAATCAGACACGCACACACAGAAACTCGCCATGGTGGTGCAATAGTGCATGGCATAGCCACAATTCCTGTGCAAACAGTGACTGAAATGAGCAGTGATGTGATATGTGTGTTATTTGGAAAATAAAGTTTCTTAATATCACATATTTGTTTGGTTGTTATTTATTACAGTTTATTCACTTAATTTCAGAGTTTACTTTATTGAATACAAAACATGTAAAACAATACCAATTACAATTGCGTGCTTTGTGCAGAACAATTACCTGCCCATTGCCTGAAATGAGCAAGCAGGTTTCCCATATTGTGAAATATTTGGAGAATTATTTTTCATTCTCAACTACTGCCCATTGCATGCAGTGAGTGAAAATGCACCCAATAAGGGCTGGGACGAGTCCAAATTTACCACCCAGGTACCCGGCCCCCTATTACCCGACCCTACCCGGGTACAGATCTCAAGAGTTGGGAACAAAATGTCTGATTGGGAATTGTTTTACACAGCCCTGGCAAAAACTATTTAGATACATGTATCGAACAATCAGATCCTACGTACACTGGTTGATTGAAGCTCAACCATATACAAGTCAAAAGGAATGTGTGCATCGTCAGAAAGAAATGTGAACATTAGCGACTTGTAGCATGTGTAGTAACCACTGAGTTTTTTTAACCACCTGGTTCGATTCCTGACATGGGTACAATGTGTGAAGCCCAGTGCCAGGCCAGTGATCATTCATAAGTGATAAAAACAACTTCGGTGTAACTGGCATCGGACATTTTCAAAGGACAAAATGTGAAAGATGGCTAAGCAGCCTTAACAATCCTCAAATTGACTTTGTTCAATATCAGTCTTCATTTTTATTTCTTAATAATTAACAACATTATAGTACCATACTATTACCCAAGAGAAAGTACACGTATATTAAATAGATCCCTGCAAAGATTTACTGTAAACCTTCCAACCCCAAATGCCACTACATATAGTTTGCATACCATGACAGACGTTTTTGAAGACAACTTATTTGTTCTTGTGAGTGAGTGAGTGGGCTTTTACACCCCTTATAGCAATATTCCATGAATATCACGGCGTGGGACACAAGAAATTGGCTTTACATATTGTGCCCATGGGGATCGAACCTGGGTCTTCGGCATGACGAGAGAATACTTAACCACTAGGCTAACCCTCCGCCCCCAGTTGTTCTTATGAGAAATTATTAATTCACTACAGCCCTACTCCTAGCCTTGCTCCATTTCCTGAGAGACTTGTAGAAATCTACCCTACACCCTGCAGTAACAGATGTACTAGTTCCAGCAATAAATTTCTAGGAATGGGAGGAAAACCAGATTGTTGCTATGATAAAAAATAAAATAACCTATGCCATGCATCCTCACTACACTTTTGAATCAGCTGTGTGCCCTGTGCTGTGTGCCGTGGTTATTAATGACATGTTGTCTCATTCAGTGAATATTCATCATGTTTATGGGTTTATTATGTATTCGTGGAAGGATGGTCTCATGGATATTGCGAATACAGATTAAATGGAGAGTACTTGATCTCGTCATGTTTTGTACTCGTTTCAAAATTACTAGCAGGTTTGTTCGTAAGTGTATTTGTACTTATCTTTGTCTTGAATAAGGGTGTTAGGTATTACCAGTATATAGGTAAATTGAGGTTCATTCTTTCCACGATACGTATCACAATATCATTTTTTCCTGTTCGATATATTGTTTGATTTCAAATTGGGCTTTTTATCATTTGTTTAATGTTATGTACTTGCCAAATGCCTTGGTACCCAGGAGCAAGCTTCCTTGGCCCCAAGATGGCGGCGCCTTTTTTGAATAAGGAATCATTATGTTGTACCAGCATCTTGTTTTGATCCATTTATGAACTTCAGTTCACACCTTAATGTATCAGATTGCTTCTCAATTAAAAATTTAGAATTATACAATATATTGTGATACGTATTGCAATACGGCCTTGTGCATTGCAAAATATTGTTATACACTTTAAACCTCCAATACCCATCCCTAGTCTTGAAGTCCGCTTATAGGAAAGTTGATTTAGGTGTTGTACCTTCTGTACATCAAAGAGAGCTTTAGCATTTAGTTTGATACTTGTAAGTTTTATTTGAAACTTCAAAATTGATTGATGTCGTCGCCTCAGATGTGCAGGGATTGTCGCCAGAAGACCCGCCAGACGTCCCATTTTGACAGGCAACCCCCATCAAGCATGTCTACAGTGCTTCGAGTGTACCGATTTTGAGGTGAACGTTACGTCAATCATTGTGTCATGGAAGAAGATGGTATGGCAGCGTTATGGTATGGGGTGGGATTACAGCAAGACAGAGGACCCGTTTGATAGTTGTAGAGGGAAATCTCCATGGACAGCGCTACCGCAACAAGATCATCGGCCCTGTTGTTCTACCGATTTTGCATCGTCATGGCCCAGGCATTACCTTTCAACATGACAACGCCTGGCCTCATATTGTTCGACTTGTTCAGGATTCTCTTCAACAAAACAATGAATGTCATCCCCTGGCCGGCTCACTCCCCTGATCTCTCACCAATCGAGCACATGTGGGATGAGATGGATCGGCACATTCGACGTCAACCGCGTGTTCCACAGACACTCCAGGAACTTCGAAACATGCTCCAGCAGATATGGACAGATATCACACAGGACTTTGTGCGACGCCTGGTCCATTCCATGAGACGAAGGTGTGTTGCTTGCATCGCAACCAGAGGTGGACACAAATGCTGTTGATTTGTAAATTGACATTTTGGCATGTTCATGTTTTTTATGAAATCACGCATTTTCAGAAGTCAGTATGGCAAATTAAACCATTTGAACACTAACAGGAGTCTTTTATCCGTTGCAAACCAAAAGTGTTTCAGATTTGGTAAAAAACAATAAATCTTATTCAATGTCAGAGGAACTTTTTGTAGCTCAGTATATATGTCATTTATGTTTGAATAAAGATAAAGCTTCAGTCAAATTCAGTGTGCAGAGTTGCGTCCCTTGGGCACGCCAGTATGATTGTGGGTTCGAATCCCGGTTCGCCCCAATTATGTTTCTAGGTTTGTCAGCACCATACCCGTGCTCGTGGGTTTCACCGAAGTGGTAAACGTCTGAGACCTGCATCATTTCGGACTTTCTTCCCACATCAAGTTGACACGCCGTGATATAACTGCAATACTGTTAAAAGCGGCGTTCAACCCAACTCACTCACTCACCATGCTCACTGTCCAAAAGTATGAGGGAGAAAAGTGAGTTTGTGTTTGCATTCCAGTGGTGGAGGACAGATCATTCATGGCTTGAAAGGCTAACACAGATATATCTATATACATTATAGATTATAGATATCACACAGTTGAACTTGCACCAACCTTCAAATTTAAGAATTTAAGAATACCATGGACCGTTATACCCTTATTCATTACCAAATCATTTATCTTTAGATTGAAAATATTTCAAGTTAAGAATTATGAATTTTATGAAAAGCGAAGAACTCAAACAGTTTCCATGCCACTGTATTCTCAAATTAACAATAGAGGCTAGGAACACCCAATGTATTTGTATGCAGCTATATTCTCTAGAGGACATAACCTATTCATGTCACACTTGCTACGGATCAGTACAGTCTCTGACATAAAGGTTGAGTGTTGTTGACCTACTAAAGGACAGAGGGTAGTCCAAACTAACTCACCTCGTGAATTGTTTGATAGGCATTACTTAGAATTACATATCAGCAACTGCCCCAATCACATCATCACCTGGTAAAACGTCCAAATCCTCTCCAACAACCTCCATGACTTCACTAAAAGAAAACTAACACTTTCACTGCCACAAGCCATCAATCAACAGAGATCTAGGCTATTTCATCCCATCCTCCTACTACAATATTATGTTTCTAGGTTTGTCAGCACCATACCCGTGCTAGTGGGTTTCACCGAAGTGGTAATCGTCTGAGACCTGCATCACTTTGGGCTTTCCTCCCACATTAAGCTGACACGCCGTGATATAACTGGAATAATGTTCAAAGCGGCGTTAAACCCAACTCACTCACTCTTTTGTTTCCTGATTTCTAAACATGTCATATATCATAATTATACTCTTCTATATTTGCAGGTAAATTTTGATGATTATGTCATATCATATTAAACAGACAGGAGGTGAACGGGTGGGATAAATTAGCCCTAATGTCCATGTTGTAAATTAACAATCACGTAACACTCTTTATGTATCTCGCGGTGATAGGCAAATCTGTCTGTGACAATAGACTGATATCATCAATCTAGAGAGTGGTGATATCATAAATTGCCACTGGTCAATGTTCAAGGTCACTTGTCATGGCTCAAGGTCAGGGTCAGTAAAGCAGCTCTATAATATCATGACTCAAAGAGAAGCTTTGCCATGGCACTTGATGATTGGAAGTTGTCTGGCCTGTTAGTGTGTTCCTAAACATTTACTGCCAATTTTAATGTCTGTCCAGTTTCGTGTATATCCAATCTTTGTGATGCAAGTGAGTCAACTCACTATAAAAGTCCAGTTTCCACCCTAGACCAGCTTGGCTGGAATTTCGGAGCCTATACACAGTCCAATCAAAATTGCAAAACAAAATAGACATCTGGTTCCTAGACAGCTGGGTGACTGGCATGCAGATTTTGTTCGACTGCGGGATTTGCATAGCATGTGCAACGTCAACTGGCTGCCAATAGATATTTTCCAAATCTTTGCAATGTTTTTAATCAAGGTGGTCAAGTTATTTCATGCTCTTTGGGAGGTAAGACCTGTTGTATTACAATATAGATCTTCACTATTGCTCAGATTGTCCTGACAGGCCGATGCCATTTTGTTTGAAGCAAATGCAAGTGATATGAGAGGTGGAATCTGATTGGTCAATAGGAGGAACATAGATGGGACATAACTTGTAATAACTTGCGCTATGATCGAACTACGAAATTCCAGCCTAGTTCAGCAAGGGTGGAAACTAGACTTTTTATAGTCAGTTAACTCCCTTATTTAAAAACGGCTACCCAGGTCTGCTACCCAAAACCTAAAGCATCTATTTGCTGCTGTATTTGTAGCCACGATTAATTCATTTACTTGCCACTGTATGCTTTTGTAGCCACGAGTCTGCCAACACACAGTGGGACCATCCTTGCACTGGCAAGAAGAAGAGAATAAAAGGAGGTAAGCATGATTGTGACTTCATGGTAACCAATGACGTCACAATGGTCTGCAAAGCATTGTGATGCAATTTCAGTGTAGCAATGTCTACAATGTTAATATGGCTTGATCTCACCTAAGTGATATCTCCTGTGGGAGCCAGTTTTGGATGATATGTGAAATTATCTTGAACATGTTGTTAAATCCCATTTCACCTCACCACCTGTTTATTTTTGTGGCCAAGCTCTAATATCTACACCTACAAATACTAACACTGCAGCTACAAATTTAACTTCCAAATTCAGTTTAGCTCTACACTGAAAACACAGTATGTTTCTCTCCTAACTAAACCCAACTCACTCACTCACTCACTCACACATTGTGGGAATGACAGTCTGAAGCTACAAGTTACATTTCTGTTACCACAGAGCTGCCATATGGTTGGGAGATCAAGTTTTCAGAAGATGGAAATGTCTATTATGTCGAGTAAGTACACACCTCACTCTGATCAATGTTAAGTCCATGCCGATTTTCATCTTCTTGTGTGTATATCTTTGTTGTTTAGGAAATATGTTTATTACCATGCCATGTGCAAAGTGATCTTGCTTGGGACTGGTCATTTATTTACAGGGGTTGGGGGTGGGGCTGATGGAAATTAAAAAATAACGCAATTCTATATTTTCAAACATTTGAACACCAATTAGGGACCAGACATTTATTATTAGGGTGCGAGTGGACAGGTGGGGGTGGGGTGGATTGGTGGGGGTAAGGGGGTGTGTGTGTGCATGAAAATATGTTTCATGAATGGGGGGTGATATATATGGCAAGTTGTCTGTTTCCCATACATTTTGATAGGTTTTACACCTGAATCGGACCCGTGAAGATTTCGGGGTAGAATATGTCTTCAGCAACCCATGCTTGCCGTAAAAATGTGACTTTGCTTGTCATAAAAGGCAACTAACGGGATGGGGTGGTCAGACTCGCTGACTTGGTTGATGCATGTCATCGATCCCAGTTGCGTGGATCGATGCTCATGATATCAATCACTGGATTGTCTGGTCCAGACTCGATTATTTACAGACCGCTGTCTTAAAGCTGGAATTTTGCTGAGTGCAGCGCTTAACAACAAACCAACCAACCAACCAACCACACCTGAATCTCCAGGGACTGAAACTGTGCCTTCGTAAGGATGACCCCTTCAATGGTATCTGAAAGGAAGATCACAGGAATAGAAACCATATCTCATCATATTTTTGAACGTGATAAGTGGCCTGATGTCTGATATGGCATGCAGTATGTGTAACTGGGCCTCTTCTATACATACAAAACACAGCTTTTAAGCATGGTCCACAGAGCAGGCAAAATAAGGCTCTTTTGAGATTTTACAAAAGTACATGTGTATTATATCGCGGCCATTTCCTTACTCGTCTAAGCAGACAATGTGACCGGCATATCAGAAAGTAATGACCGAGAAGAATCATTTAAGCATGCTTTTTTAACTGTAAAATGGTTTCGGAAGATGATCTGCCTCAAATTGCTGTCAAGAGTTGCCCCCCTTTGTCATGCCAGCATATGCTGCTTTTCGGTTGAATCCCATATTCACCCCATTGTGATTTTTTGTCTGTCAGCAGTGTGTTTGCTGTTTAACACCACACTCAGCAATATTCAACTAAGCGTCTTTTACATAATCAAGTCTGGACCAAACAATCCAGTGATTCATTCTGTGAGCAACGATCCATGGCGTCAGGGTACAATGACATATTATCAACCAAGTGCCTGACCACTCGATCCTCTTACACTGCTTACAACAAGCATGGGCTGGTGGGGACCTATTCTTATCTGGGACCCCCACTGGGCCCACTGGGCCCGAGACACAATCGGTTCAGCCCTCTGTAACACGCCATACCTCTCTCAGCCGTTACCCAAAACTAACTGCCCCCCTACATTACACAATTACATCCAGTCTCATAGAATTTATATACATACACAACCTAGAATGCAATGAATGCAAGGATACAAACAAACCTTGAGCGACAAATAAAACCAGAAGTCATATAGTGTTGAATCCGAAGGGAGATAACTCTGTCATGGGATAAAGTAGAGCAAGTAGAAAATATGGTAAGAATATAACTTTACAGTGTTATATTATAACTAAAATACTGTAAACCCACCTCCCTTACTGATGATGAATGGCCATTCATCTATTTCCTTGTGCAACAGCCACATCAACTCGAAAACGACATATACGGACCCAAGGCTGGCATTTGCAGAGGAGATCAAAGACTCACCCTTGGACTTCCGTCAGAAGTTTGACAGTAGCAGCAGTGCACTACATGTCTTGCAAGGTCGAGACATCTCGGGCAAATATGCCGTTATTACTGGAGCCAATTCTGGAATTGGTGAGAAAAATGATAAATCTTAGTTGGAAAACTTTTGCCCTTTGCTGATTTCCAGGTGAACCAAGAAGCTTACAGGCCTAAGCTCCAAATTATATGTGATTTGAATTTTCTGTTTCAGAGTGATATAATATATATACATTATACATATGTGTATCCATTCTCTTGCAACTAAAGTTTGTTTCAAGACGTCAATAGCGGTAATCTGACCGTGGTTGCTGTTAATTATAACGATGAGTTGTGCAATCTACCAATCACTTCGCATGCGATTTCGCCGAAATTATTGTTAATATTATTATAATTATTGAATGAAATTTTGAATATAATCAAAATATATTGCAAACATTGGTCCAGATAAACAATGAAATTTTTTTTTTACCAGATATTATAATTATAGGATTAAATTGCGTACTTCAATTTCGGATTTGTTGAAAGGTATTTCCGGTGTTACGTGATTGCACTGATCAGCTGATAATGTTCTCTGAGATGGGGGAAAACATTGTGTCATTGGAAAACTTGCGTTTATTGAAAATGTTCGTAAATTTTGGGAACCATGCTTTACTGCCCGCTATAACCGAGTTAGCGCTATATTGAAGGGCGCAATAACGAGGGAAAACTGTATAAGAGAACCAGGCTTTATGATGACTGCATGCTGATGCCAATGTCCATGTGAGAACCATCTACAGATTACAGCAACGACACCAGGTCACCATCAGCATGCAGTCATCCAAAAGCCTGGTTTCTCTGATACTTTGTAAGACTTGGCATGGCGTAATGGGTAACGGTAATAAAGAAATTATTACAATCGCATGAGTGTCATACTGATTTTTTTACGAAATTTGTGTAAGAATTCATGTATTACCCTCATTCTCACTCAAGAAATAAAAGAATTCCCACACTCGTTTCGGAAAATCAGTGTGACACACATGTTTGTATCCTCTTGACTCTGTTTTCGAGCCCCTGTGAAGTACTTTCATTACGTGTCTAATAACATTCGCAATGCACTAAAATTAAATCTTACCTTTGAGAATATTTATTTCTGCTTACAATTGGATAGTCAAATGATCACCTCTTGTAAATTTATTCATGATAATGCCTCGCCAAGCGAGACCAGTCAGTCAGGCGCCATCTTGTTACCATCACCTGATTTTGGGCCCCTCCAAGTTAAAAATAGACACACAACATGATAAGTCACGTGACATTACAGACAGCAAATTTACAAACAGCAGTAAATACATCATCGGTGCATACGATTGTTGTGATGCAAAATTATCTTCAGATCAAGTTTGATTAATATGTGCATCAGTGAAAAAGTAACTTTTGAGGTATGTTTTCATTACTTACTGATTATCTTACATCGTGTAACTTAATTCGAAAAATAACTTCAGCGACAAGTTGTGAACACTTTGATGTCTTCAGTGAGCTTTGAAGCTCATGGCTCAATATGCTGATGGTAACATATTGTTTAGGGGCTCGAAAACATGTTACGTGGGGATATAAGAACCGCTATTTATTTCAGGGACGATATGTTAGTCTTCACCCCTGATCCACGCCTTGTCTTGTCTACAGGTTATGAGACCGCCCGCTCACTGGCTCTACACGGTGCCACAGTAGTCCTGGCCTGCCGCAACATGGAGGCGGCAAATACATGTCGGTCACAGATTCTGGCCGAGAGATCCGAGGCAAAGGTGGAGGTGATGCACATTGACTTGGCATCACTTGCGAGCGTCCGTCAGTTTGCCCAGCAGTACATTCAACATGGCTGGTAGGTACAGCTGGTGGGGGTGGGGTGAGGGAGGTTCCCCACAGGGAGACCTTGAGAGAATGGCCCTCAGTACGACAGGCTTGTGGCAAAACATACAATTTGTTTCTATGTAAGGAGAAACCCAACATCAGTGTTTTGGTTACAAAAATTATCAGCTTAACTGGCAAAAAGTTTGGGGAAGTGTGTGTAAATCCTCAGACAAATATTTTTCTCCAGTATTTGCTAGAACAAGGTATTTTTCAATCAGTCCAGAGAGTGGAAGGTCGGGGGTTCGCTCCCCGGCCACGTCATACTAAAAGACGTTAAAAGATGGTACTTGTTGTTACCCTGTCTGGCGCTTGACATTAAGGGGCTAAATCAAGGACTGGTCAGCACAGAGTCTGTATACTGTGTCTGAGGGGGGTATTCATGTTTTAAACTACGGCATGGTATCTCAGTGGGCCAGCACTATAAAATCGGCATCAGTTCGGACTAGTACAACAGTCACACACACACGTGCATGCACGTCGCTATATAAGTGCAATAATCTTGAACACGACAATGAACCCCATTTAATCTCAACTCAACTCAACTCAACTCAACTCAACTCAACTCAACTCAACTCAACTCAACTCAACTCAACTCAACTCAACTCAACTCAACTCAACTCAACTCAACTCAACTCAACTCAACTCAACTCAACTCAACTCAGTCCTAGGTGCCCCAAGAATATCAAAAAGTTCTGTCCCTGATTAGTTTAAGAGTTGACTAATGATAATCTGGTTACAATGTGTGACTGGGGTGATTCTTGGTCATCAAGTCCTAAGGTGAACATCGTTGCTCATGCTATCAGCCCCTTGTTTTCCTGGCCTGGCTTCATGTACATGCTGAGAGGATGTAGCTGGATTACTGCCATAAACAGCGTTCTCCCACCCACTCCTTCACATGTACACCTGCTGCCTTCCTCACAGGATGCCACTGATATTCTGAACGAAAAGGCTTTTTTGAGTAATTTATGTCGTCTGGTACTATTATATCCTGAGTTACTTCCCTTTTCATGGACTACCCAAGTGCGTGACACCTTCGTTACACTCTCGGTATAGAGAGCTCCACGAACGGGCTATCGCTGTGAGGAGCTTGGGACTCCCCATGATAACGCATAGGCTAAGTACCCAATATAAGTATTTTTATTATACAATGGATAGTTCCATCGATGCGATAAACCTATCCAGTAAACTCTAGATCAGATAAATATGCAAATGGAGTCTTCCAAAAGGCATCTATTTTTAATAAGCTACATTGATGCAATGCCAACTTGATCCTAAATGTTTGTATAACGTTCCAAAAGAGTTGATCTAGATTTCCACATGTGTGTGAGTGCACAATGAAACAGAAATAGCTGCAAGTCATTTAATACTTTAGAAAAAATGGGGTGGTACACTCACATTGTACTTCTCACTATCTCCATAGTAAGCTTTGATTTTTTTTAAGAATGACATTATATGCAAAATAAAATATGCTACATTATATGCTAATTAATTTTCCAACTTATCTCACACTATGCATTTCTTCTTTCTTCCGAACACATCCCATCATCATCATGGTGATCACACAAGCAAATGGGTCATGCACTGTAATCCCGTGCGTTGTGAGCTTACTCGACTTGATCACCTGCCTACCCCTGCCACATAATTGTCTTTCTCATCGCCACCCTGCGGTGTTGTGTTTTACATTTTGTATAACTTTCTTTGCGTAGGTTACCTCTTTTTTTGTGTAAACTTTTTTTTACGCTAACCTGAAGAGAGAATGGGTATAAAGCATGATACGCCCGACTTGTCTAAATTGCAGAAGTACTTACTCAACTGCTGATCACTGTTGTGAGTGTTGTGGCAGTTGCGATTAAGACAAAAGATGTTTCCAGTGTTTCCACCACACAGAGGAAGGTTTCAGCTTATACCTACACAACTGCTACAAGCGTGATGTTGACCTCCAGTCGAAGTCCAAGGGCATGGAACATGGGCCTTCCTCTGACAAGAAGCCCAAATGGGTCACAAAGACTGCAGTCCCCTCCATTGTTCCAGTCAGGAAACTAACTCCAGCGTCTACCATACACTCCTTGTCGGTTGAAGATGACGATCTCAAACAGCTCCCTCACTGACAACTTTCCTGCCAAATTGGTCCAGCTGTCTGTTTCCAGTGCGCCCGTCCATGCCTACATTTAAGCAACCATCATCCTCAGATGTGCGCGTGGTTCTCTCTCCTGATGACTAGTCAAAAAAATATTTGACCTTCCTATTGCTTCTTGGTTGTCAAGTCGCAAGTCGCTTATCGTCCCCCGCTCTTCCACATGATGTTCCAGTCGTCGCAGAACTAGACCTTTCGTCTCAAGACACAGTCGATCCCAAGTCGGCAGTGAAGATTCCGACTTCCCTGGGTCGATGGTCGAGTTCGTCCTCTACTTCTACTGAGGAACGACTGAGCCAGGATCTCCGTTGCGCCTCAGACAAGGTTCGCCATGCTTCCTTTAAGAGTCGCAGTTCCAGGGATCAACACTCTAGGGATCGCTCCTCAAAGGATCATCATTGGGAGGATCGACGTTCCATATCTACAGGTGGTCGTCCTCGGGATTGACACTCATGCGATCAGTGTCTGGGAGATTTACCTACTCAGGATTGTCGCACTACTGATCGACCTCGCAATGAGCTACTGATTCATCATGGACCACTCCTGCTTGACATGACTATTGCCGTCATGCGGAGGAGGATTCCTATACAGATTCTGCATATTCAGATTCCTCAGCCTGTCCACTCTAAGAAAAAGAATTATGTGCCAGGGGTAGTCAGGTGATCAAGTCGAGTAAGCTCACAACGCACTGGATTTCAGTGTGTGACCCATTTTCTTGAGTGGTGACCATGGTGATGCTTGGTTTGTTTTCGGGTGAATTGTTTTTAAAAGCTGGAAACTTTGTTTAAGCACTTTAAGGATCGAAAGAAGAAGGAAGAAATGCATAGTTAGAGATAGGTTATGTATATTATACAATAGTTGAAAATTACAATCACCATGTCTCCGTATCACATTATACAATATGTATTCCTTACATAAGATGTTTAACTTACAAAAACACAATGGCTAATAATCTCTGTTTATATAGTTTCTTTAAGTTTTATTCATATATATTGTAATTTACTAGAAATAACTAATAAACATAATAAAAGAAAAATTCAAATTACTCTAGATTTCAATTGAGAGTGCAAGTGTGTAATATTTCTAATCCTTGTGATTAGTCACAATATTCAACTCATGAAGTAATCTTATCAACCAGCCTCTCAACAGACAAGAAATATACCATTCTGTATTGACAAAGAAATGTACGGATGTTTATTAGTGTGAGTTTCTGCATTGTCTAGGCCTCTACACATCCTCATCCTAAACGCAGCAGTGTTCGGTCTGCCATATACACGGACAGAGGATGACCTTGAGATGACCTTCCAAGTGAACCATCTGGCCAACTTCTACCTGCTGCAGCTTCTTGAAGAAACCCTTGTCCAGTCCCGGCCAGCAAGGGTGGTGGTTGTGTCCAGTGAGTCTCACAGGTGGGTCCACAGGTGCTCTCCTCTTATTCTTCTCTCCATGCGTTTATTGGGATATTGAAACAGTAGTAGAAGTACTAGCACTGTCTTAGCTTCCAGTTACAGGTTAGCCTAGATGTTAAAGTGGTAGCTTGTCATGAACAGGACCCAGGTTTGGTTCTCCAACATTGTACTATGTGTAAGCCAAATTTCGGTTCGCCCCGATTATGTTTCTAGGTTCGTCAGCACCATACCCATGCTCATGGGTTTCACCGAAGTGGTAAACATCTGAGACCTGCATCACTTTCGGCTTTTCTCCCACATTAAGCTGACACGCCGTGATATAACTTGAATACTGTTAAACTGCCACTCACTCACTATGTTTATGTCACAGGACAGTGAGAAGCCTAGTGGTTAAAGCGTTTGCTCGTCACACTGAAGACCCTGGTTCGATTCCCGGCATGGGTACAATGTGTGAAGCTCATTTTCCGGTGTCCTCCGTCGTGATATTACGAGAATATTGCTAAAAGCGGCGTAAAGCCATACTCACTCACTTATTCACTTTTGCCATAAGCACTACGCGGCCTGTCATAAAATCGGAATACACTTTCTTGTTTGGCATGTTATGTGGTATAACCAAAGACGTATATACATCTTTGGTATAACTCACTTACAGTCTATGAATCACGGCTTAACGGATAAATTCTCAGTAACATATGTAGTAATAATTGGGTGTGAAATGTTTTATGGGCCGGGGACAACTTGGCCAAGCAACATCAACCTATATCTTGACAGAGTTGCCTCCCCTCATCTGGTATTGGTACAGCTTTGTTTAGACTGCCCATACGAACACTGAAAACATTCTACAGTAGACAGAGATATTATACTCAGACATATATTTCTAAAACAATTCTCAGTAAAATACTAGTAATCTACAAACTGATAATATGCAACATGTTTTGTCTATAGCACCAGGTCCAATGTTCAATCTAATTATGTATTGGTGTTACCTTGAACTGACATAGACATTTATCAGTTTTTCCTTTTAATTATATGTGATATATCCCTGCAGTAATTCTTTAAAATAGAGCATTGTATATGTATATTTTTATAAAAAAAAGTATAGTATATTTTGTATCAAGAGTTCATGCGTGTATCTTATGCAGCCTTCTTCAATACTGTGATAAATGGGAGATAACTCTAATTCCTGGAAAGCCAAGACGATGTAAACACTGGAGAATAATGAGCTGAAATGTTTCTTCACGTTGCTAGACATTTTCAGGAAGGTCATTGCAGTCATTATTAGGTAATGAAGGAAAGACAAGCTGTTTATTTCTTTTATCTTTTAATCAACAAATACCATTTAGGGATCTGGGACGAGTCCAAATTTACTACCAGGATAGTACCCCCTATTACCCGACCCTCCCCGGCTACCTGTTGTAGGTCTCAAGAAATGGGAACAAAATGTCTGATTGGGAATTGTTTTGCCGCAGCCCTGGCAATTAGATCCATGTATCAAACATGTGATCATGCGTACACTGAAGTTGACTGAAGCTTATCTTTACTCAACCATACACAAGTCAAAAGGAATGTGTGCATCATCAAAAAGAACTGCGAACATTATTTGGAAAAAGTCGTTTGAGCGTGTTTTCACAATACGGAAATCAGATATGTTCATTTTACTGCTTCACTCACCCCTACCACGAATTTTAAAGTCTCAACAGTGATTAATCCTTCAGAAAGAGCAGCTGACTTGACCTCCTCTAGACATGTCCTCAGATCGTCACACAGAGAGTATCATATCAGAGAAACAGATCTGATTTTTAGAAGGTTGCCCCATGAATATTAAATGTTCAGGACTCCTTTAGGTTCACAGACCTGGATGTAAACAATCTGAGCGAGAGCAAGCTGTCCCCTCCGAGCACCCACTACCAAGACCTCAAGGCCTACAATCTGTCCAAGCTGTGCAATGTGCTGTTCTCCAATGAGCTGAATGCCCGGCTGTCTGTGCGGGGTGTAACGTGTAACTCGCTCCACCCTGGCAACATGATGTCCTCCAGCCTGGCCAGACACTGGTGGTTCTACAGACTCCTCTTCACGCTTGTCAGGCCGTTCACCAAGTCTATGGTGGGTCACATTCATGTTTGTATGCAACGCTTTCATTGTAGCTCTACAGTGCCTAACCATATTTTCATTCTTGTCTTAATTCAGATTCAAAGGGCTGCCATAGCCTGTGTCAGGTAGAAATACAGTATCCTGTATATCTTCTAAAATGTGCCCGGTCTCTAATAGGCACTGGCTTCCAATAAGCGCTGGGTACAAAGTATAGTACAACACAAATAGCGCCAGGTACAATTAAGGATTGGCTGTGGTTCATTGAGGTATGAATCGAAAAACTGATGTGCAAACAGTATGAATCTGCGTAGTTGATTCTTACAAAAGTTTGCACCTCGGTTTTTCGATTCATTCCTCATTGAACTGAAAACAATCCACAGTCAATCCTTATAAATAAATTCGACAATTATCTACAATAGTTTAACCAAAAACATTTGTATATATATAATAGTAGACAAAAACTATGAGGTTGATAAACATTCCATGTGTAGGAATACATACTGTGGCATGACATGAATCAGGATTGTTTAATTTATGAACATAACTTGACAGCCCACAAAATCAGTAGCCAATCAATGGGGAGTAGGATCAAAACAGAGTTCAAGACCTGTCAATCAAGGCAAGAGGCGAGAAGATCTGCAACAGTCAGACTGTAATGAACCGGAAGAAATATGTTCAGTTACCGCCAGATTCCACCATTAGTTTCCTGAGAACAGGGAGACACAATTGGAAAATGGCGGTTATTGGTTAGAAATGACACCCGAAGACATTAAATTTGTTGAAAAACAGGTGAGTTAGCCTGAACGTTCACCTTTCCATTCCTTCTTGGCCTCGGTTTCAAAGAGTAGTTTGGACAATGAATATGCATGAAAGTCATTAAATGTCCTGTGCATGACGATACACAAGAGCAGAAAGGGAATTCCCTCGACTGTAATATTTCGGAATTTCCCGATTTTCCTTAGTAATAAAAGTGATCTGGTTCGGTGGGCGTGGCCTAATTTTTTACATTAATTGTGAAATGAACGCAATAACACATGACCACTTCAGCTAATCAGGATGCAGGAATTACAATGAACACAACATAAATTTAATTATCGCAGCATACAACACAATAAGGGCCAGGTACGAACCAGCGAACAACACAATAAGCCGGGTCTCTAAGAACCACATGGTATGTTAGATTTAAATACTGAATCAAGAACATAATTTTTTAACTTACCCTGCATTGCATATTGCACAATGCTCTTTCTACCGAAGACCTAACTGGAAATGACAATCTAGTAACTTGAGTAACTCTTTTGCCCAACATGACCCCATGACCCTCGTGACGTTTTATTCCCCCATATGTCATTATCCCCTTCTTCACTAACTAAGCAGGATGTGAGAGAAGATATCTTTGCTGTTTTTTGGAAGATTCTATCCTTTGCTGGTTGAATTTAATACTGATCTGAGCCTAGTTGTTGTTTTATCCATCCTTTTTAGCTCAGCATGGAAGTAAAACATCCATGCTTCCACCTCGGGTCGTTCTTCGTGTTGGCCGCCATTTTTAATCTGTTGGTGGGTTGGCTATGTCGTAGATGGTTGACAGTGTGATTATCGACAGCGTAATTTATGTTTAATATGAATGTTTTTCACTTTTGCTGCATTTACTCTTTATGTTATCAAGTAATCAAACTTGTTTGATGTACAAAATATGTTTTACATACTCGTAAATTAATCATTGTGACGTCACATCACAGTACAAATAGCTAGACTTGAGCAGGCTTTTATGACATTTATGGGATTACATTTTACTCCCATGTTACGGATGTTTGCTGCCAAGTGCGGGTTATGTAGCAGCAAGAAAATCATCGTTAAACACCGTACCTTCCCATCCCAATATGTCCAGAGTGCGCCTCCTTCCTCACCTATATCAGAGTTGTCGCCAAGAGGAAATGACAAAAGTCTTTTTGCAGAATGTCTGACCACTCCTCAACTTTAGATTTCATTACTCTGCCACCAGATCCTTTTATTTCAGAAGGCTTTGGATAACTTGGATAGGGACTTTATCGACTTGGAATCCCATAACACCTCGAAAGCATTCTGAGAGGCAACCAGAACATGGCCCAAACTATGCAAGGCCCCCTCCCTGGACAAGGCTCTACCAGAGTGAGCTTTTTCAAGATTTCTGACTCGCGGATCCCATCCCTGGACACTGAATTGAAAAGGACTCTTCCCCATTTTTCCTTGTTGGCATCGTCCCTTGTAGTCATGGACTGGTGCCTCAGAGAACGACCATCTGATGCAAAACAATAGTTACAGTCAGCTCAGCCAACTTGGTTACATGAGGGACCGCGTTCTCCAAACCACAGCCTCACTGACCCTCTTCGGGAGACAGAGTTACCTATCTGCCTCCTCTTGGAATCCTCGCTTCAAGGTGTCTTTGGTTAATCAACCTTGGACTGCATCAACCCTTTTTAATATCGCCATAGGGTTACTGGAGGTGAGCAGCCCAAGCGTAAATCGAGCTCACAGACCATCCACCAGGCGACTGTAGGATGATAAATGAGCATCCTTTGAGATTTTTTGTCAAATAACATGGCATTCACCCCCACAGATGCAATGTTGCAATTTGTGGTGGTTTACTTGTACCACCTGAGAACAAAGAAACACCTAGCTAGCTGAAGTTTTATCCTCCCGCATGAGATTTGAATGTCGCTCACCTCCGACAATGCCCCTATGAACTTGACTCAGAAGACCATCTTCCTACTAACTCTAGCTACAGCAGCCAGTGTTAGTGAGCTCCATCCTCTGGATGCCACTCGAGTCCAGTGGGAACAACACTCCTGTGCTGGGATTTTATAGCCAAAAACAAACAGCCTGACCAACAAGATATTTTACCATCCCACCCCTCTATTACATTGAGCTGCTGCTATGTCCCCTCTGTCCCCTCAGAGCCTACATAGAAGCAGCGAGGACAAGGATAAACTGCTGCTGTGTCCCGTCTGTCCCCTCAGAGCCAACATAGAAGCAGCAAGGACCAGGATAAACTGCTGCTATTTCCCGTCTGTACCCTCAGAGCCTACATAGAAGCAGCGAGGACAAGGATAAACTGCTGCTGTGTCCCGTCTGTCCCCTCAGAGCCTACATAGAAGCAGCGAGGACAAGGATAAGCTGCTGCTATGTCCCGTCCTTACCCTCAGAGCCTACATAGAAGCAGCAAGGACCAGGATAAACTGCTGCTATTTCCCGTCTGTACCCTCAGAGCCTACATAGAAGCAGCGAGGACAAGGATAAACTGCTGCTGTGTCCCGTCTGTCCCCTCAGAGCCTACATAGAAGCAGCGAGGACAAGGATAAGCTGCTGCTATGTCCCGTCCTTACCCTCAGAGCCTACATAGAAGCAGCAAGGACAAGGATAAGCTGCTGCTATGTCCCCTCTGTACCCTCAGAGCCTACATAGAAGCAGCAAGGTCAAGGATAAGCTGCTGCTATGTCCCGTCTGTACCCTCAGAGCCTACATAGAAGCAGCAAGGACAAGGATAAGCTGCTGCTATGTCCCGTCTGTACCCTCAGAGCCTACATAGAAGCAGCAAGGACAAGGATAAGCTGCTGCTATGTCCCGTCTGTACCCTCAGAGCCTACATAGAAGCAGCAAGGACCAGGATAAGCTGCTGCTGTGTCCCGTCTGTCCCCTCAGAGCCTACATAGAAGCAGCAAGGACCAGGATAAGCTGCTGCTGTGTCCCGTCTGTCCCCTCAGAGCCTACATAGAAGCAGCAAGGACCAGGATAAGCTGCTGCTGTGTCCCGTCTGTCCCCTCAGAGCCTACATAGAAGCAGCGAGGACCAGGAGGAGCTGCTGCTATGTCCCGTCTGTCCCCTCAGAGCCTACATAGAAGCAGTGAGGACCAGGAGGACCAGGAGGAACTGCTGCTATGTCCCGTCCATACCCTCAGAGCCTACATAGAAGCAGTGAGGACCAGGAGGAACTGCTGCTATGTCCCGTCCTTACCCTCAGAGCCTACATAGAAGCAGTGAGGACAAGGATAAGCTGCTGCTATGTCCCGTCTGTACCCTCAGAGCCTACATAGAAGCAGCAAGGACCAGGATAAGCTGCTGCTATGTCCTGTCTGTACCCTCGGATCCTACATAGAAGCAGCGAGGACCAGGATGAGATGCTGCTATGTCCCGTCTGTACCCTCAGAGCCTACATTGAGGCAGCAAGGACCAGGAGGAGCTGCTGCTATGTCCCGTCTGTACCCTCAGATCCTACATTGAGGCAGCGAGGACCAGGATGAACTGCTGCTATGTCCCGTCTGTACCCTCAGAGCCTACATAGAGCCAGTGAGGCCCAGGAGGATGACTAGGCGCTGCCTGTTCATTCCCACCTCACTGACTTGTAAAGGAGAAATCTCCAGGAATACCCTCTGACGTGGATGACGTACATAGTCTTGGGCCATTGGTGGTCGCAATCCCGAGAAAGGCTCATGGAAGTCATGTTGGGCCAATGAGTTACTGAAGATGCTGATAGATGTAATATCAATCATTGATCACCAAAACTAGCCACAATTATATAATGAAAGTGCTATAACAGGGATTTCTGTTGTAGAAATTAATGTCAATCAGACGGGAGTGTCAACATTTGTCGTTTTGCTTTAGGGTTGTTGTACCGATCTGTGCTTCATTGACACATCTCATAGGCCTAACACAATATAATCGTATTATCATAATACTATTATGCCAATGTTGTCCAACTTGGGCATTTGTGACATGTTTCAAGGTCCAATGGTGGAGGGGAGGGAAAATCTCAATATGAAACCAAATTTGCCGGAATTTTGTCCGGTAGTTTTCTTGGACCCACTGGAAGTACTGGCTTACCAGACTTAGCAGTTTATTCATCACAACCATCGTCACAGATGACCCAGGTGGGTGCAGTAGTAGGTCATGCAGAGTTGTGTCCCTTGTCCTTGGCAATCTTCCTGATTATGATCCATGGTCAGCACCATACCCATGCAAGTTATAATTGGCCTCCAGCAACCTGTGCTTGTCATAGGAGGCAACTGAAGGGAACGAGTCGTCAGACTCGTAGACAGCCATCATATAGCTGGAATATTGCTGAGTGCGGTGTTAAACAACAAACAAAACAAAAAACAAACATGGTTGATGCATGCCATCATATCCCAATTGCGTAGATCATTGCTCATTATGTCAATCACTGCATTTTCTGATTTAGATTCGATTTTTTACCACCAGACCACAGATTGCCATCATATAGCTAGAATATTGCTGAGTGTGGCTTTAAAGAACAAACAAAAATTACTTCCCGCAATCTACTGCCATGCCATGATATGACTGAGATTGTCACTATCTTTGTTTTGTGTACAGCAACAAGGAGCCTCAACTACCGTATACTGTGGCGTGTCCCTGGACCTGGAGGGGCTGGGAGGGATGTACTTCAACAACTGCTGCAGGTGTATGCCCTCCCCCGCCTCATGCGATGACAAACTAGGCCGGGCATTGTGGGAAATTAGTGGGAAACTCCTCGCAAGCAGGACTATGGGTGTCACAACACAGACTGAAGATCAGGAAGATAGGTGAGTGTCAACGCAGATTTGTTTCTCAGAGAGTGTTTTAAGATTGACAACTTGGACCCAATCTCTTACATTGTGAATAAAATATGCTTAAACCAAACTAACAAAGAAACAAATGAAGTCAGTGTTGAGATAGGTAGATGTCAAACAGGTATGTTTCTGTGTTGAGATAGGTAGGTGTTGACACAGATGTGTTTCTATGTTGAGATAGGTAGGTGTCGACACAGATGTGTTTCTATGTTGAGATAGGTAGGTGTCGACACAGATGTGTTTCCGTGCTGAGATAGGTAGGTGTCGACACAGATGTGTTTCTGTGCTGAGATAGTAGGTATCGACACAGATGTGTTTCTGTGCTGAGATAGGTAGGTGTCGACACAGATGTGTTTCTGTGTTGAGATAGGTAGGTGTCGACACAGATGTGTTTCTGTGTTGAGATAGGTAGGTGTCGACACAGATGTGTTTCTGTGCTGAGATAGGTAGGTTTCGACACAGATGTGTTTCTGTGCTGAGACAGGTAGGTGTCAACAGAGATGTGTTTCTGTTCTGAGATAGGTAGGTGTCGACACAGATGTGTTTCTGTGCTGAGATAGGTAGGTGTCGACACAGATATGTTTCTGTGCTGAGATAGGTAGGTGTCGACAGACACGTGTTTCTGTGCTGAGATAGGTAGGTGTCGACAGACACGTGTTTCTGTGCTGAGGTGTTGACTTGTAGATGTTTGATGGACTAGTTACTGTCTCGTAGGTAGACACTGAGGGGTTTTTCCCTGGCTTTCTACAACAAGATCATCATGGTTATTCCTTTTTTCATCACAAAAACATTTTTACCTCCCCTAGATAATACAGGCCTAGGACATCACTAGTTCTGGTCATGGAAACCACTGTGACAATAATATATACTGGTTCATTACTGGTTGTAATGTGTTCCCAATGCATTCATTATTACCATACAACTATTACAAGAAACTAATAGCTCTTACAATTTTTGGAATTTTAATTTATTTCCAAGTATCCCCAATTTTTTTTTAAGAGTAAAGATCACTTGACTATGTGTTTGGCCATTTTGACTTTTAGGGTGTTGTCACGTGATCACCAAATGGACAGGAAAATCCAGTATTACTGATCGTCATCACATGTCCAAACACATGATAGAAGACTGACACAGGTTGCCTTTTTGGGGGAAAAAAATGGTTGCCAGATGTGGGGATGAGTGTGCACCACTTGTACCCATTCTCTGGTTATAAGGTCAACCCTGCGGGATTTCCTTCAGGTAGCTGGAATATTGCAGAGTGACGCTTTGAACAACAAACACACACAAACAGATGTGTCAAACCACATCCTTGGGATTCTGTCATATGTTCCATGTGTCTGTGTAACATCTGTCTCTGTGAAGCAGTGCGTGAAAGCAATTAACCTGATTTATTGTGTCAGTTTTTTGGGACATCATTGGTAGACAATCAGCCTTGGTGGTTGCAGATGATGCAAAAATAACAGACCGTTATATGCAGGGACCGAATTGGATTTATGCCTTTTATAACTGGGATGTGTTTTATGTTTACAACAAGCAACTGATGTGGCTTCTTTTGTGGATATTTCTAATTGTTGAAATATGCGAAATGATGTATAACAATGGAGCTACTACAATCATTGTTCATTTTGTGTTTGCTCGAGTTCAGGAACTGCCCTTTCCCCCCCCCCTCCCCTTAAGTTCACACACACTAACACTAACACACGAACACCAACATACTGTAATAATTTACCAGTCCCTTAGAGACTTAAGTTGGACAAGTCTGAACAACCATTCTAGTAACAATCTCACAGTGAGATGTACACAGACCATGGGGGCAGTCAGGTAGCCTAGTGGTTAAAGCGTTCACTCGTCACGCCGAAGACCCGGGTTCGATTCCTGACATGGGTACAATGTGTGAAGCCCATTCCTGGTGTCCCCCGCCATGATATTGCTGGAATATTGCTAAAAGTGGCGTAAAACCATATTCACTCACTCACAGACCATGGATCACACTCATGACATATCTGAGATTCAAACCAACAACAATCAGATCTCGCAACTCTACAAAGTGGATTACAGCAACTTCGCCCACTAGGCCTCCAAATTGTTACAGAAAAACAACAAGACGGTTGGAGGTAAATGCCAATTTGAAAAGTACTTTCTTTACATCAACATCTGTGGGCTTGATGTAGGAAGAGTAGCAATAAAACAGAGGTGGAGGTTAACCTCACTTTGAAAGTATTTCAGTTATATTCCTGCCTTTCAGCTTGATGTGGGAAGAGTAGCAATAAAACAGAGGTGGAGGTTAACCTCACTTTGAAAGTATTTCAGTCATATATTCCTGCCTTTCAGCTTGATGTGGGAAGAGTAGCAATAAAACATAGGTGGAGGTTAACCTCACTTTGAAAGTATTTCAGTTATATTCCTGCCCTTCAGCTTGATGTGGGAAGAATAGCAACCAAACAGAGGTGGAGGTTAACCTCACTTTGAAAGTATTTCAGTTATATCCCTGCCTTTCAGCTTGATGTGGGAAGAGTAGCAATAAAACATAGGTGGAGGTTAACCTCACTTTGAAAGTATTTCAGTTATATTCCTGCCCTTCAGCTTGATGTGGGAAGAATAGCAACAAAACAGAGGTGGAGGTTAACCTCACTTTGAAAGTATTTCAGTTATATTCCTGCCCTTCAGCTTGATGTGGGAAGAATAGCAACCAAACAGAGGTGGAGGTTAACCTCACTTTGAAAGTATTTCAGTTATATTCCTGCCCTTCAGCTTGATGTGGGAAGAGAAGCAATAAAACAGAGGTGGAGGTTAACCTCACTTTGAAAGTATTTCAGTTATATCCCTGCCTTTCAGCTTGATGTGGAAAGAATAGCAATAACACAGAGGTGGAGGTTAACCTCACTTTGAAAGTATTTCAGTTATATTCCTGCCCTTCAGCTTGATGTGGGAAGAATAGCAACAAAACAGAGGTGGAGGTTAACCTCACTTTAAAAGTATTTCAGTTATATTCCTGCCCTTCAGCTTGATGTGGGAAGAATAGCAACAAAACGGGAATAAAGTCAGATTCAGGTCTTACCGTATTTTCTTGAGTATAGTGCACACTTTTTTTCTCCAAAAAACACAGCTGTGTAGAAGAGGGTGCGCATTATACACGAATTAATGAGTTTTGATGTTTTTTTCCCCCATGGAAAGACATTACCGTGAGCGAGTAACACCGGAAATACCATGTCAACAAATCCATACTGAAGTACGCAAATTAGTCATGTAATTACACTGTCTGGCTATAAAAAGTGTTCTTTGTATATCTGGACTTATGTTTGTAACTTATTTTATTAATTTTATTCAAAATTCCTTTTAATATTCTTTTAATGAATTTCGGCGAAATCGTGTGTGAAGCGATCGGAAGATCGCACAACTCACCGTTATTAACAGCAACCGCGGTCAGATTACCGCTATTGATGCCTTGAAACGAACTTTAGTTGACAGAGAATGGATACATATATCATAAATGCCATACTGTGACTCGTTAAAAGTCATATTTGTTTTTGTTGGACGATTCTATGTCAACACGTAATTCTCGCGATAAACGTGCACGGGAGCCTTGACAGTGACTGGTCAGACAGGTTCCATGTAAAAAATAATACCCGGCAATAGCGATCAGCTGCTTTGCTTAGGGTTATTTTTATTTTAAATATGTTAAGTAAAAGCTGCATCTAAATTAACAAGTTATTGGAATATATTATTCCTGATAAAAAAATAGTTTCAGATACAATTTCTGCCAATCCTTGCATTAAAATCGTGTAAAGTTATATCATTGGGTGTGTCTTGACCGAATCACCGGTAGATTCCAAGAAAACGTGTGTACAGCTGATTGCTGTGTCCGACTTAGTTTACGAGAAAATACACATGGTAATCTTGATATAAAACAATGCCTAGCAGAACAAAAATACAATTTAAACGGTAAATCAACATGTCAGGTGATTTTTTATCTCAATTTTCAAATTTGTACTGGCCAAGTTTCTCATCACCCGTTCGTTTATTGGACTTTGCTGAAGGGGTACGGCGTAATTTTTTTCTGCACTTGGTATTCGAATATTTATTTTCCAAAATATTAAATCCGCTAGAGGGGGGTGCGCATTTTACATGGGTGCGCACTATACTCAAGAAAATACGTTGGTATTTTGCACTCTGATTAAATCCACGAGTACAGATATGGTACTGACAAACCCATGACATAATGAGGCCAAATATGGATTCAAACTCATGTTCATCAGATTCTGGTGTGACTGAGGTATCCAGCTATTGGTGCACTCGGACAAATGGGCCACCCATCCTCATGAGCAGAACAGATCTGTGATGAAGTTTCAGTCTGTCAGTGTTGTAAGAGTGTGTAGACACAGGGCATTAGTGAGGGGCAGTTTCACTCAATGTAATGATTCATGGCCTGTTCATCAGATTCTGGTGTGACTAAAGTATCCAACCCTGCACAGCTATTGGTGCACTCGGACAACTGGGCCACCCATCCCCAAGAGCAGAACAGATCTGTGATGAAGTTTCCGTCTGTCAGTGCTGTAAGAGTGTGTAGACACAGGGCATTAGTGAGGGGCATTTTCTCACAATGTATTGATTCATGGCCAGGGCTCCTAACAACAGATGGCCAGTGCATTCTTCACACACATCCTTGACAGTCTCGATTACCTAGCACTGTTCTGAAAATTTGGAGCAAGTTAATAAAGTTGAGATATTTTCAACTTAATCTTGATCTACCAGTTCACAATGAATATGTTTCTAGAAATATGTATTCATATACCACTGAACTTTGAATAGGGGACTCTTTTATTCTATGATGTACCAAACTGATGACTTGTAATATGTACTGTAAATTATGAAATTAATGAGTCTAAAATTAATGTGAATGTCCCTTGCTCACATTAATATAGTAAGGCATTTTCTTCTGGACATGTATTGGAGTTTATTGTCATGTCAGGCTC